GATTGCTGCTCCAATTTCACTTGCTCAAGCCCAAAATACCAGTAAGGTAACAGAACTGATTGAATAAAAGAAATAGGAGCCAGCTGACAGCCCAAATACAACAGAGACCTACAGAATGAACCTAAAGAGGAAAAATATTCAATCTGACAAACTATTAATATTTCTCCAGTCTAAGGAGATCAACTTCTAATATTTGTAGCCTCTTTATTACAAAAGAGCCATTGCTTTAAAATTCAGAAGTTAGTATAAACACTAAAGCTACTGTAATTCTTTTTCTAAAACTAGATTAAAACAATATTCTTAAAGCCACACTCTTTTGTAGATCTTCACAATTAGCCTGAAACAAAAATATCACTCTCAGTAGCAAGCAATTGATTCTTATATTTTGGAGGTGGTTGTTTTATTAAATACTTCAAAGTAAAAGTTAGTGTTGAAAGCTACTTTACAATTCAACTCTTACAAAGTAAGTTTTAAATTTATTACTTACACCAGTTTTTCCACTTCCTGTTTCTGCAGCCTGAATAAGGAAAAAAAGTTGATTTTACAGATTAAGTTGTCAATTAAAGAGATCAAATTAACATGATATTATGTAGAAATCTTTAACACTTGACTGGCTTCCTTTATTTTCACAGTGCCTTCAGATTGATTATACAGGCTTCCTCAGTCAATTTTGTTGCCAATCTTGTCACCTCTCCCATTCATTTCCTTAAGAATCTGCTCTCCCCTTTCCTTTCTCATTCAAATGAAGCCCTCATCATTTTAAACTTAGATTATTACACCGAAGTATCCTAACAATGTCTAATCCCACATAGCCATACTATAGTCTGCTATCCTATTAGTCTTCATAAAAACACAATTCTAACCACATAACATCCCTGATAATAACATCAAACGTTCCCCACTGACAAATACCCAAATTCTTTAATACAATACTTGAGAAAGGGCCCAAATAATTTGACCCACTATGTATTTCCCATTTTATCTCAAGTTATCCCCACAGACACAGGTTACGTACCACCTAACTGCACTATTCCAGTTCATACCCTGCATTCTCTTTTTTTTTTTTTTGAAACAGAGTCTCACTTTGTTGCCCAGGCTAGAGTGAGTGCCATGGCATCAACCTAGCTCACAGCAACCTCAAACTCCTGGGTTTAAGCAATCCTCCTGCCTCAGCCTCCCAAGTAGCTGGGACTACAGGCATGTGTGGCCACCATGCCCAGCTGATTTTTTCTCTATATATTAGGTGGCCAATTAATTTCTTTCTATTTATAGTAGAGATGGGTCTTGCTCTTGCTCAGGTTTTGAACTCCTGACCTCAAGCAATCCGCCCACCTTGGCCTCCCAGAGTGCTAGGATTACAGGCGTGAGCCACCATGCCGGCCCCTGCATTCTCTTATTCACTGATCTAATGATTCTCTGCCTACAGAGCACTTCTCTTTCATCTTCCCTTGTCAAAAATCTACTTCCTCCAAACAGTCCCTTATTATCCCTCAAGCAGGATAACTGGACTCTCACTTGAATCTGGTAGCACTTTGCATCTCTTGTGTAGATGCCACATTCTAGTATCACATTTATTTTTGTATACCCTACTTGGTTGAAGCTTCTCAAGGGCAAAGACTGTATCTTCTTTGTCTTTGTATTCCCACAGCTTCTACCTAATACTTTGAATATAGTATATGTATCATAAATGTTTGTGAATAAAATTAATTTGGTAAAAGTATCATTTTTAAGACTATGGAGTTCCTAGAGTGGGTCACAGACAGCCTCAAAATTGTTCATTCACAGCTCCCAACCACCTCACCAAATTTAAACATACCATGAGTACATCACCTCCTCCTAGGATCAGTGGAATAGACTCAGCCTGGATATCAGTTGGGAGACTACAAGAATCATATTTGAAAAATTTTAGTTCAAAATAAAATGAACCTAAGCAAATTAAGTCAGGTTAACTATAAACCTATACTATAAACTAAAAACAGAATTTTATTTGTCAGTACAACCAATATTTTTCAGCTAGAAATATGTCAAGGTTAAAAAAGGAAACTTTCCATAATTCAGAGAATCACAAGAAAAACTCAATTTCATTTACCCAACCACACTCAAAAATATTTGATAAAATCACTAACAACTGTTTAAATTGAAAATCATCCTTGCCACAGGTGCATTTAAGCTTTATGTACTTACAGCCAATCCATCTCCTCCACAGCTTGTGCAATCTCAGGCATAACACCCATCTCTGAAAGTAAAATTTAATTTTAAAAACCATACATACTAAAATTAAGACACGAATCACATTGCTCTTAAAATACTGTTCATACGACAAGGGAGAGACTGAAGCATGGTTCAGTTATATAATACCTACTGAGTATGGCACTGTTGAAAAAGTGTTAAGTTTTGAAGAAAGACTTAAATTTAAATTCAAGTGACCTTGGGCAAGGCTTTAAATGTGTTTTCTCCACATAAAATGAGGCTTATATTATATACCTTGTAGGGCTATAGGAAGACTAAAGAAAATAATAATGTGATGTATCTGGCACATGGTTGTTACCTAAAACACAGTAGCCATCATAGTCCTTGTTTAACCCCCGTGACTAGTGAAAAATCTCCTAGAGCTAGACAGCATTCAAGACCTGTATCTTGGTTGTTTCACTTAGAGATAATGTGGCAGTCATGTCTTGGCTGTTTGAGGACCATGTGAATACCTCAGCAATCTGAGGAAAATGAACAGACAAGTGGAGAGAGCTCCTATTTATTGGTAGCCACCATCAAAATTTTGGTTAATTGAAGAGGGAGGCGCCAGTGGTGAAAACTTACTCAAGTGGAAATGTCAGTTGAAGAGCTGCACTATTCTTAGTTGCACACATATTTAAATAATTCTACTTCAAGGACCATCTAAATACATAGATTGGGTTGTTCTTGATTGTGTTTTGTCATTTTATCATTTCTCAAATGAACTGTAAAGGGCAGTTATACTTGGAGTCTGAAGGACTTAAATTTCCCTTCCAAATGAGATCTTTAAGTCTGCAATTATAAAATGCAGCTTTTACTATTATCATTACAAAGTACATATCCCTATAAAAAAGCGAACACTCAAGTATTCCCAAGAGAAATAACCAATTTTGAAATTTTGTATTTAATTGTAAAAAGGCATAAAGCAATTCTACAAGTTGAATATATTCTTTACAATAGTAGTTTTTTCTTTGCATCGAACGAGAACAATCATAGTTTTCAAAAAAGAAGGCTCTAACTCTAAATCTCCCCATGAAAATCCACAGATAGAGAAACTAACCAAGATCTAATGCTGGATATCCAGGAAGACCTTTCTAAGAATTACCTCTTTAGAGTCTAGCTATATTCTCTTTCCTAAAATACAAACTGCTTAAAAAAAAGGAATGATGTCTTAAATATGCTGCATACAGAATACCGCAAGCTAAGGCTTCTTTGCAAAACTTGCAATACTACAAGCAACAGCTACAGACTGCTTTCAGTAAATTCCAGGCAACTTCTTGTCCCATTCTGGTCATGTTCTCTCCATGTTTTCTTTAAAATCATGTCTTCTTTAAGTGTAACACTTTTAACAGTTAAGGGGAACACAGAAATATTCATGTTCTTTTATTCTAATTTTTTATTCTAATTTTATTCTAATTTTGTCTTTATTTATTTTAGTTCACCAAAGATGTGAACCTATAAAACGACTACCTAGAACTACTCTACATACCTTGGCTCTAAAATCTTGTTTTAGAAGAGAGTTGGGAAAAGAAAAACAGCAACCACTCTGAGAAGATTTCTCACTGACTCCTAAACAGTCTGAAATCCTCTCACATAATTAGGGATTTGGAATTCCTAATATTCTCAAGGAAGAAAACTGAAAAACATTCAATTTACTAAAATATCTGAAGTCATCCTAATAAGTCAACATTAAAAGATAGTAGGCTTAATTTGGTACATTTATGGCTATATAAATTTATCACGTGTAGTATATTTAAGGGTGATTACAGCTTCGTGTAACTGTGGATGCATAAAAGAAATTGGAAAAACTGTCAACTGTAGGGTTCAATAATCCACATTGAATCCTGTTTGAAATAAAGGAGGGTATCATATGGCAAATCAGTAACAATTTTCAAAATATACGTTGGGCTAGTGTGTACCTATAACAGCGTTTAACAACAAATAAAGATCATGTTTATGCCTGAGACTTGTATTTTTGGGAGGGCCTGAAAAAACTGGACAGAGGCAGGATCGTAATTTGCCCAAGTGACTCCTCCCCACGCCCCAAACTTCTCAGCCTAGCCAAGCCCAGATGAGTCGCGGGCAGAAAAGGGTTCCCAAAGGGTCACTGCCACGTCAAACAGGCGGGAGGCCTAGGGGTCCGACAACAGCTAGAGCAACACCGCCGCCTCCTTTTCGCAGTTGAGGGTGCACCGGCAGGAAAGCCAAGCAGAGATTAATAGAAGACGAAAAAGAGAAAGAGCAGGGGGAGGAAAGTCCCGGCCAGCGGCTGGAGACAAATGCCCTCCCTGGACCGGAGCCTCGCGCTCCCGACCTCTGGGAGGCTGCCCCGGATCCCGCAACGCGGGTCTCCTCCGGGCCGCTCTCGCCCCCAAAGCTCCTCGCCAGCCGCCCCAGGTCCGAGGCGTGCAGCGCGCCGCCCACGACACCCCCAGCTTCCACAAACGCACCGGAGAAGGCCGCCATCTTCGCCCTGTCCTCGCGGATTCGCTTGCTCTCTCTTTCCCTCTCCCCACTCCCGCAACACACCGCGGCAGAGGCAGCGCGCGCTTCCGGCGCTCGGCCTTTGGCGTTCCCAGTCCGGGCAGGGACTGAGCCCAGGGAGAATAGTTCCCACGGAAGCAAAGGCCCGCCTCGGCCCCGCTTCACGCGCTTGCCGCTGACCCGACTGCGTGAACCCAGTGCACCTGGACATTGCCTTCCATGTAGTTACCGTTTTTTAGGGGCACATTACGTGTCAACAGGCTCACTTTTCCAGAGATACGGAAGCAGAAGTTTGGTGATTAGGGTCACACAATGGGCCCTGGCTTATCTGACACCGAACTGTCCCCTCTCTGTAGCGTCAGTCCGTCCCCCAACTCACAAAGATAAGCAGTGCCTTGGCGGTGAGTGAGCGACCTGGAGAGAGTGTGCCGAATTCGTTCTATACTAGTGAGTGCCTGGCATCCATAGGCATTTGTTAAGTATTTTTGACTGAAATAAGAAATGATTTAGGTCTCCCTCTTTCCCTTCACCGTGTTTGACGTAACTTTGATAATTGCAGGTTGACTTCCATGCAATTTTGACTCCTTTCTCTTTGCAGAGAGATAGGGGAAAGTAAATGAACAATTAACTCTCCCAACTACTTACTCTGTCAGGTATTTATTAGAATCTTTAGCTGAGGACAGACACTAAGATTCAGGAAAGTTAAGTAACTTATCTGCAGCCACACAGTTGCTAAACGGAACGTGGGATCTGAGCCACGTCTGCCTAACTCCAGGGCCCATCCTGTGCTATCTGTGGCCTGTCGCAGAATGTCATGGAGAAAAGTGAAACCCTCACACAAGACGTATAGCAAAGGGTTAGAATTACAGATTTGGGAGCAATTCTCTTTGCGTTTGAATTCTAGCTCTGCCACTTGCTTGCTGTGTAAACCTTGAACTAGTCATGAAACTTCTCCAGGCTTCAGTTTACTCATCTGTCAAATAGAGATCAATAATAATATCTTTCTCATATGATTGTTATGAGGATTAAATACAATACCTAAAGCACCTAGAACAGTACATAGCACATGGTAACAATATGTAAGTACCAGCTCTATTATTACTATTACGTGTAACAGGATTCAAACACCAAGGAGAAGACATCAGGCCTACAGAATCACACTTCCAGGAGGCGCTATTCACATTATCGTCTGTATTCTCATTACATTTTATATAAATAATAGCCCTGAGAGTTATGCAAAAGTAGCAGTTTCTGAATGGATACCAAGTACCGCCACATTCCCAACAGAAGTATGACATCTCAAATTATACAGGACGTGCCAAAGGGAATTTTGAAATCTGATTTTTTTTTTTTTTTTGCCTTTAGTCAACAACCACCTTAAAAGCATGAAAAGATTAGAGATGCAAATTAAAAGATTTCTCCAAAGAGAGTTGAAGTGCTGTGGCATTTTCCCTCTCTCAAGGGAGAAAGGGATTTCCGGGGAATCTCTGAGAGTTTGAGAAATATGAGGACTGCTCTGAGAAGCTGTGCCTAGGAGGACCTGCAGTGGCAGGGCAGGAAAAGAGACAGAAGGGGAGAGAAGGCTGCTGTGGGAGCTAACTGCATTTCCTGCAACTGTTGGGGAGACATGTGACTTTTTTTCCCTAGGGAATAAATGGACCTGTGGAGAGTGGACTAGAAGCTTTCTTCACAGGGAATGTGCTCACCTGGAGGAGCTAAATGATTGAGCAGGCAGACCCCCAAAGAACCCTTGGTTATCCATACCTTCAAACTGAAGGAGAAATAACACCCACTTCATGTGAGTTGTACTTGGAGGATGCCAGCAGGAGAATCTTCAAGATATCCCCCAAAAGTACCCTCTGAGATAAATAATTAGCCTTGAGCATGCCTGAACCAGAGAGCAGCAGAATCAGATCACTCCAGCACCAGCCAGACAAAGTTAGGTATCTCTCTCACCCACTAGACTTTATCCCTTCCCAGGAATCAGAAACAACTGCTTATGGGAGAGAGGAGTGCAGAGAAGAAACTGATTACACCCTCCATCCCATTGCAGACTCTGGCTTGGAACAGGACAAGCTGGGAAGAAGAAAGCTATAATTTTAGATAAAGTCATGAATTTTGATCATTTCACTGGACTTGATAGTTTAATTACAGAAACGAGGCTATCATTGTGATGAAAGTAACCTGACAACTTTTCATTATCTGAGAGTGACCAGAAAAGCTCTCGAAGATGCTAGAGACTTCATCTAGGTCAGGGAAAAAACCCAAAGAGATAGTTTTAGGGTAATGTTTTCTGTTTGTGCGCTCCAAGTCCAGATAATTTAATATACTACTTTAATATTATAAGTGTGTGTGTGTGTGTGTGTTGTAATGCCCTCAATAATGTGAATGGGAATAGAATGTTATAGGCTTCTGTCCTTGGCAGGTAGGGTAATGCCAGGCAGAGAAACAGCAGCCAAGACCTTCCCAAACCAAAAGATAGAGGATGGATGCCCATCAAAAGATAGAGGATGGGTGCCTGTCAAAAGATAGAGGATGGGTGTTGGTCCCATTTCCCCAGAACAGGTTGAGTAAATAAATGGTTGCTTACTACCTGGGAGATTCCTGGGAACTTTGCCTGGTCCCAGGAACTCACCTGCAGAATTAGGTGGGAGGACGGCCACCAGCAAGTGGCGCCAAACTGCAGCCAAAGTGATTGGACTGGGGCCCTTAAAATTCCCAGACAGCCAGCGCTTTTGCCATTTGTAATAGAAATGCACATAAGAGATTTTAGGGGGTGATGGAAGTCTTCAAAAATTAGATTGTGGTGATGGTTGCACAGCTCTGTAAATCACTGAATTGTACACTTAAAACTGAATTTTATAGTATTTAAATTATACCTCAATGAAACTGTTTAAAAAACTATCTGTAATTTAAAAAAAGACAATCTCCTAGCCTGGCCTTGCCCCCATCATTTTGTTTTTTTTTTTTTTTTTTTTGAGACAGGGTCTCCACTTTGTTGCCAGGCTAGAGTGAGTGCCGTGGCTCAGCCTGCTCACAGCAACCTCAAACTCCTGGGCTCAAGCGATCCTGCTGCCTCAGCTCCCTGAGTAGCTGGGACAACAGGCATGCGCCACCATGCGGCTAATTTTTTGTATATATATTAGTTGGCCATTGATTTCTTCTATTTATAGTAGAGAGGGTCTCGCTCTTGCTCAGGTTGGTTTTGAACTCCTGAACTCAAACGATCCGCCCGCCTCGGCCTCCCAGAGAGCTAGGATTACAGGTGTGAGCCACTGTGCCCGGCCCCCCATCATGTATTTTTTAGCCTTACAATAATCCCATATTTCATGCATTTGGGTCTTTTGGGCCCCAATGATCATGTTAAAGTGGAATTTTACTGTATTATTATCCATGTACCAGAAAGATTGTGCTATATATTTTCAAGTAAGTGGTATTAAACCCCACTGCAGAACATATGGTTTTGCAACTGCTAAGACCGACCAAAGAAAAGTGCCCTTCAGATACACAGGACAGAGTAGAGAGGATGGGTCCTGTGAAGGACGACGGTCCCTGTCTTGGTCCATTTGTGCTGCTATAACAGAATACCTGAGACTGGATAATTTATAAAGAACATTTATTTCTCACAGTTCTGGAGGCTGGGAAGTCCAGGATCAAAGTGCCAGTAGGTGTTTTGTCTTTTGAGGGCCCTATTTCTGCTTTTAAGACGGTGTCTTGAACCCTGCATCCTCCAAAGGGGAGGAACACCGTGTCCTCACATGGCAGAAAGTAGAAGGGCAAGATACTATAACACTGCCTGAAACCTCTTTTATAAGTGCCTTAATCTCATTCATTAGGCAGGAACTCTCATGACCAGGCGTCCTCAAACTACTGCCCGAGGGCCACATGCAGCCCGCCGAGGACATTTATCCAGCCGCCAGGTGTTTTTGCCACCGCTGCCTGTCCTGCTTAGCAGCCGACTTGTCCAGGGCCCACAGTGCGCATGTGTGGAATGTGCACCGCACTCTCTGACAGCCCTCCAATGGTCTGAGGGACAGTGAACTGCCCCCTGTTTAAAAAGTTTGAGGACCCTTGCTCATGACCAAATCACCTCTTGAAGGCCCCACTTTTTAATATTATCACATTGGCAACACAAGAATTTTGGAGAGGTCACATTCAAACCATAGTAGTCCCCTTCCTTCTTGCTTTTCTTTATACAGAGTGTAGGAAGAAGAAAACAATCATCTTTCCAGACTCCTTTGTAGAGAGACAGCCCAGAGACTCAGTTCTGCCTGGAGAGATATAAATGACAGTCCCAGGTTGGGACTTGTCGGAACGCTCTTTAAAAGAGAAAGATCTGGCTGACATGCACTCTCCTTACTCCTGGAACATTGACACGATGCCTGGAAGAACAGCAATGAGCCATGAAGATAAAAGCTTCACACCAAGACTGCCAAACCAGAAAATATAAGGAGACTAAATCCTGAATGATGATGGTGAGTCCAGGTATGTCTACCTCTGGACCTCCTGTAGCTAGAGAATGCCTCACTTTGTTAAGCCACTTTAAATTTTCTCTTGTCTGCACCCCAACATATTCCTAAAAGGTACAGAAAAGAAAGGAGATAAAGAAATTTACCAATATGGATTTCATGTAATGAATCTTTCAGAAAAAAATTCTAATGTTCTATAATAGAGCAATAAGTAACCTACTGTGGCCAGAATGAGTTGAAGAAATTTGGCCTGGGTTGTGGTGGCACCATCAAGAATGATCCTTGAATGTTTAGTCATTTCCTCACAACCCAAATTGAAGATGAAATGTGCTATATACAACAGAGAACATGGCTCTGAATCAGCCTAGGGGATATAACTCAAATTAGGTTATACCAGGTATAACCTAATACCAGATTGCCTTATCCTTTAATTGACATCCAACCTCCTTGCTCTCCTCTTCCTAGCCTTTCTGGGACAAAATAAAGCAAGCTGCCTAGTTTCTGAGAATTTAGCCACCAAGAAGAAGGAAGCAGCCTGAAAGAAAAGTTGTTTTAACCTAAAATAAGTTGAGTAGAAAATACAGTATCTTCATTTCGTAAGCCACCCAACGTCCTTCCTCATGATACATGATACAAACCCACCCATCATTCTACACAATAGCAATATTCTCTCTCCTTAAATGGTGTCCATGAAGTTTTCCCTCCGATCCATGTGCTAGGAGGAAAAAGGGACTCAGGAGTACTATACTTGCTCTAGATCTTGAATCCTGCTATAATCAAACCTTACATCAATACACCCTCTCCCCTTGGATATAACTCTTAGTTGGTAAGGCTCCTAAATCCATCCTCCATAGGATGACACACACCAGGTCCTCCATGTCATGTCCAGCCTCCTGCTTACTTCCATTCTTATTACTACCACTCCCCTCCACAAATTTTACTTGCCAGCATAGCAAACTATGTAGAATGCCTTGTATTTACCAGATTGCCTCTCACCACTGTATATTTTTTATGTTGTTCCCTCTCCCTAGAATAACTTTCCCCTTTTAGTTTTAATTATCTACTGCTATATAGCAACAACCTCAAATCTTAATGGCTTAGTACAACAACCAATTTATTTGCTTATAATTCTGTAGGTCAAGAATTTGGGCAGGGCTTAGCTTAGCTGGCTGGTTTTTCTGCTCCATGTGACATTCCCTGGGATCACTCACTAGGCTGCATTCAGCTGGTGTCTTGGGTGTACTAGGAGATTGGAGAAGACTTCACTCCCACATGTGGTGCTCCAGTGTCCCCTACATGGTCTTGCTGTTTCCGTATGGCCAGCTTGGACCTTCTCATAACAGGATTAGTTCTGGGGAGTACAGACTTCCTACATAGGAAGGTATGTAGCTGGTTCCACAAAGATGTGTTTCAAATAAAGGCAAGCAGAAGCTGCACATCTCTCAAGCCAACCTTAGAAGTAAAGCCATGTGTAACTTCTGCCGAATTCTGTTGGTCAACACGAATCATGTGAGCAGCCCAGATTCAAAGGGAGGAGAAATAGACTCTATCTGTCAATGCAATACATGGCAGAGTTTGCAGCCCTTTATAATATACCTATCTTCTATCACATTGTAAATATACCTACCTGTAATAACACCTATCATCTTGGAAAACTCCTAATTATCATTCAAATTGAGCTAAGCTAGCACTTTGCAGCAAATCTTGTCACCCCAATGTTTATTTCTCTTTTTCCCTAAATTTATGACTCTCAGCTAGACATATGGCTGCCTGGGATAAAGACTCCATTTCCCAGCCTTCCTGGTAGCTAGAAATGGCCATATGCCCATTTTCTGGCCAGTGGCATATAAGGTATCTTGTGTGACTTCTGGGAAATATCTTTAAGGGAAGTGTTGCCATCTTGTTTTCTTCCTTCTTCCTGTTGGTTGGAATGGGGTTGTGAGGGCTGAGGTTTTAGCAGCTATGATGAACCATGAGAAGAGAACCATATACTGATGGCAGAACAATAAGAGAGAAATAGATGAGTCCCTGATAACTTAGAGCACCACACCAGCCCAAAATTGTGATACTATATTTCTTAAATGAGAGAGATATAAACATGTCTTTCTTTTGTTTTGGATTTTTTTCTGTCTCACACAGCTAAACCTAATCCTAATTTACATACCTTTATTCCTTATCTATTGCTACAAAACCAGTTGCCCCAAAATCTATTCACTTAAAACAATAAACATTTATTATCACTCCCAGCTTTTATGGAACAGAAATTCAGGAGCAGCATGGCTGGCAAGTTCCACTTGGCTTCTCTCTTGCAGAAGTAGACAAGTCTTTGTCCAGGATTATAATCATCTAAAAGGCTTGACTAGGGCTGAAGGATCCATTTTAAAGGACAAGTCACTCTCATGACTGTGCGGGCAGTTAGCGGGAGGCCTTTGTTCTCCACACGGACCTCTTGGGCAACTTTAGTGTTCTGATGATATGGCTGCTGACACCCCTCCCTTCCCCAACAAAGCAGGCAACCCTTGAGAACAAAGCAGAGTGAGTGGTGTATTTTATGGCAAAGCCATCAAAGCCACACACTGTCGTTCGTACAATATCTTATTGGTCACACAGGCCTAATCAGTGTGGAAGGGAACTACACACATAAAGGTGTGAATTCTAGAGATAAGGACTGTTTGGGGCCCATCTCACAGGCTGGCTACCACACCCCCACTTCCCCAATAGACCCTTGTTTGTTTATGTAGCAGGTGGTGGTCCCTGAATCTCAGGCAACAGTATGTTCATGTAGCATCCTCTGGGATAAATCGTGTTTCTAGAACAGCCGTTGTCATCATTAAATTTGTTGTCTTAGCTTTCTCTGTAAATTTTTCACAATTTACCTGACTCACAGAGCAGTTTGGAGACAGGGAAGCTCACGTTTAAACATCCTCTTTTTCCCCCTATATTTCCTACGACTTCTGAGCTGAGCAACACTCATTGAATTTTATGCTTTTGTCAAAATAAGCTGTCAGAAACTGGTCCAGATCTATTAGAATGCAGCATCATTCTCGCTGCCCCAGCATTCACCTTATGGTGCAGGGACCAGAGGGGGCCTGGAAAACAGACATAAATCCAGAGATCTATAATTCTGTATCCCCTGAAGAAGTGGCCATTAAGTCCATCACTCCAGATATATGGGGAGAGGGAGACAAAGGGCAAGCCGGATGAGTTTCAGAGGGACTGTAAAACAGAAAAAGAGATCTCCCTAACTGTGTCAGTCTCATTATAGGCAAGCCAGGCAGGGAAGCGATTTATGGTTGGGTGCTGACTGGCTCGCAGGCATGAATGTCACTCTGTCTCCCATGCCTGCCATCTTGAGTGCTCAGGGGCCCCTGTGAATGACGCTGACAGCTCATGGGGAAATGGCGACACAGTTGGAGCCTGAGCTTGTGGGTGGTTAAAAACAGACTGTGCACCAGACACATGTTCAGAATCCAGCAGCCCAGAATCTGCCAGGGTGCCCGAGTTCCCTCATGTGCCACAGGAAGCCACTGTGCATCTGTGCACAGAGTTCAGGCTCGCTGTCTCAGCCTCCCACCCAGCATCCCTGCCTCACTGCAGCTCTTTCCTGTCTGTGGAATCGATCATAGGTTTTCTTTTTAACAAGGCCTATGATTTTATTTTTTAGCAGGCTAAAAGAAGACTGCTTGCTATATTGAAAGTGGTGGTGGTGATAAAAAGTATGGTCAAGAATTCTTCAAAATGCCTGGAGGAAATAATTCAGAATATCGAAATTTATACTGCCTGGCTCCTATGATGTTGCAATAATAAGAGAATTTGTGAAGGCTAATTCAACTGTAGCTCTGAATGGTAATGTTCCAGTTACTATGGCTACCCCAAAATATTGTGGCTTAAAACGTTGATTTATTTTTCTCATAGAGTCTGTGGGTGAGGAAACTGGACAGGGCACAGCAGAGATGGCTCATCTCTGTTCCACGATGCCCAGCACCTTAGCTGAAAGACTGAAAGGCAAGGGACTGGAATCAAGAGAAGCTTTAGTCACTCACACGATGTTGTTGATGCTTGTGTTGATGAGACCCTACCTGGGGCTGACGGCCAGCTGTGGCATCTCAGGGGGCCTGTGCTTTCTCACTGCACGGTGGTTTTATTCCAAAGGTGAGCATCCCAAGGGCCATGCAGCCTTTAATGACCAAACTATAGAAGTCAAGCAGTGTCACTTCCTTCCCATTCTATTAATTAAGATTATGACAAAGGTCTGCCCTGCTTCAAAGGGAGGGATCATAGACACCACCGTTTGATAGGGGAGTGTCAACATCACATTGTAAGAAAATCATGTGGGGCAGGATATAAATTGGTATGGCCATGTGTTAAGAGTTCTCCAGAGAAACAGAACCAGTAGGATGTATGTGTATATAGAAAGATTTATTTTAGGGAATTGGTTTGCATGATTGTAGAGCCTAGCAAGCCCAAAGTCTGTATGGTGGGCTGGCAGGCTGGGGACCCAAGAAGAGTTGATGTCGCAGTTGAAGCCCAAAGATCATGTGCTAGAGAATTCCCTTGTTAGAGGAGGTCAGCCTTGTGTTCTATTAAGACCTGTAACTGAATGAGGCATGTCCACATTATGGAGGGCAGTTTGCTTTACTCAAAGACCACCAATTTAAGTGTGAGTCTCATCCAAAAACATCATCACAGAAACATCCAGAATGTTTTAACAAATATATGGGCACTGTGGCTCAGATAAGTTGATATATAAAATGAACTATTGTAAGTGCATGCCTTGTCAACTTAGCATCCATATGCATCTCCTTAAACCATATTTAATCTCCAAATAAGGACAATAAGAAAGTCATAATTCCACCTAAGATGATACAGCTATCCTGTGTACAACTAAAAATGCACTAACACTCTCCCTAGGAAAGGATGTAAAATCCCTGGATTTTGTCTATTCTTCTCCTTGATATCCCATAACTTAAATATTATAAAAATTTCAGTACTTAAGTACTATGATATAAAATGAATACATCTTATGTTACATGATACAGAGATAAGAGGGAAGAAAACAAAGATATTTGCCATGTATATATATATATAGAGAGAGAGAGAGAGACAGAGAGAGATCTCAAAATAAACACATATACATATACATATGTACATTATATAATATATATACACACACACAAATATATTCACAACAAAATAAAGAAGAAATGCTCATGGCAATTATAGTCCTTGTTTCTGTATCTGGTCATGTGGTCATAGCTGGCATTTATAACTACTATACTTTCTTCCATTATCCATCCTGTATTCCATTTGCCCCCAGCAAGCAACACAGTTGGTCATAGAACCTGGTTTGGTGACCCAGACTTTCATTCCAAAGAGTCTGGGCCATTCATAGTCCTGTCTGGATTGGGTTATAGTTTTCCATTGACCTTAACCACAGGGTATGATGATATTATACTAAAAGTGCCCGGAGGAATCTCCTCTATCTCATACATACTCTTCCTTTCCTCCCTGTGGAGTAGTGGTCCAATTTCTCCTTGGTGATCAGGATCAATCACTCTGGCCACCACAATAGCTCCTTCCTTTGCCTGTTGATTCAAAGGCTTGAGGATCCCAAAGTGACCAGGTGTCAGTCTTACCTTTCAGTTCAATGGAATCATTGTTGTGTCTGCTTGTGGAAGCATCTTCCCTTTGGAACTAAGACCTCTAGACCAGCAGAACATAAGATCATGGGGAAAGGAAGCAAAAATTTTGCCAGTGGGTCACTAGTGGAAATAGTGAGTGGTGCCACTCCCATTTCTGCCGCTTGATTCCTGGATCTGTGAATCTTGGCTACGGGAGAAACAGCACCATATATTGGACACTGACTCAGAGCCTATGGCCATCTTTGGAAAGTGCAATCTGCCACAAGTGGACATCTTATCTGCTGATTGGGAAACTAGTTCTGTCTTGGAAAGAAACAGAAACATATATTTAGGGCCTGAAAGTGAATAAGGCAGTATGTGTTAGGCACTTTCTATGAGGCATCTTTGACACCTTCATAGGATCCTTCATTTATTAAATACTATTCACCTAACAAAACTTATTAAGTGCCTCCTGTGTGCCAGGGCCTACAGTAGTGAAAGGGATACAAATATAGATAAGACATACTTCCTTGCTTTCAAGATAGTCTAAATTTTTCAACTGATATAAAATATAAACACATAATCATACTGTAAGGCAGCAATGCAATGGTAGAGATTTATTTATTCAGTGTATCATGGGAAATCAGAGTGGATACCTAACCCAGGCTGTAACAGTCAGGGAAGGGCTTCTTGGGGCACTGACATCTGAGATGAATCTTGAAAGGTTCACTGAATTTAACTAGATGCAGCGGGGTTTATGGGGGGAGGGTGAAAAGAGGGGAAGTTTCCAGGAAGGGGGTACAGTATGGAGAGCTGCACAGCAGTGAGAAATAGGGTGGTGTCCCCTAATGTATTAATCATCTAGTGCCACATAACAAATCACACTGAGACTTAGTGGCTTAAAACAATAAATATTGATTATCTTGCGTAGCTTCTGTGGGCCGGGAATCTAGGAGTGATGTATCAGGATGGTGCTGGCCTGGAATCTCTCATGAGGCTGAAGCCAAGTTGGCAGCCAGAGCTGCACTCATCTGAAGACTTGACCAGGGCCAGATGATCCACTTCCAAGGTGGCTTCCTCATATGGAAGTTAGTGTCAGTTAGTGGCAAGTTAGTGTCAGTTGTCAGAATAGCATAGTTCTTTACTGCCTGAACATCTCCACAGGATCTTGAATGTCCTCACTCATGGCAGGTGTCAACTCCAGCAACTGATCCAAGAGAGAGACTGGTTTAGCTTCTGGCGTCTCCTACCATCATTTCCACAACATCCTGCTGGTTACACAGACCAATTTTATTCAAGGTGGAAGGCACTACACAAGGGCATAGATACTAGGAGACTGGGATCATTGTGTATGGGCAGGGGGTATTTTGGAGATTGGTAACCACACATGGAAATAAAATATCTTTCTCCATTCCTCAGATGTCAGGTTCAAAATCATAAATTATTTAGTAGATAAAAATAAGGCTAAAGAATTTGAATCTGAGCTAGATTAGGGAGAGCTATGTATTCCTGAAGCAGACAGAATAGGTGCTACGCTCTAACCACTTGTTTGGAAGACAATTTTCAGCAGCACATGTATATATAATTGTTTACACCAGTGATCCTCAAATGTAAGATCAGAATTACTCCATGGAGCTCTTCCAAATGCAGCTTCCTAGGTTTAGTCCTCAGGAATTTTGGTCCCCCCAAGTCTGAGGTGGAGCCCAGGAATAGGCATTTAAACAACACAAGTTGCCTGGGTGATTCCGGTACAGGCAGACCTCCCTAGAGGAAGTTTATTTTAGACTATTGTAGGAAGTTTATTTTAGACTATTATTCTTTTAGGGCTCACCAACCTGGTCATGTTGATTTCATGGCTTTATTCTTAGGTATGATTTTATTTCCTACTTCTTGAACTGCCAAAGATAAAGCTGTATACTAGTTAAAGTGTTGAGAACATATTTTAATCAGTAATATACTACTGCAATAGGGAAGAGTGTCTGGCATGAACTGGACTGAACATGGGAGAAAGGGAGGAGGGACCAGCGGGGCTTGAGCAGAGTTAGAGAAGTGAAAAATTACAAAGGTTGGTCCGTGCAAATGCCCTTTAGGTCAGCTGTGTCTGTTAGCTGACAATTAATCAAAGTTAGGGCTCTGTCTTCCCAGAGACTGGAGACAGAGGCCCTGTAATTCCTGATGTTTACATTTCAAAGGAATGGTTTTCAGGTCCTAGAGACACCTGTGAGTCATTAGAGAAGCATATACATCTCAAAGGGACAGAGGAAGGATTCACAATTGTAAGCCCTTTTTAGTAAATGCTCTAAGAAAGAGTGGTCAGGAACCTGTGGTCAGGTGTTGGCTGGAACAACCAGTAAATTCTTTTAGCAGCCCTGGGCTTTCTCAGGGTGGCTAGGGTCACATGGGGGTGGCTGTGGTCCTGAGCTGTCAGTAACTTTTAGTGTTTGTTTAAGTCTTTAAATGGGGAGGTGGATGGGAGTGGACAAAACTATTCATGCTGAGAGTCTGTAGTTTTTATAGGCCCAGGTTGAGGCCTGAACAAGAAGAGGGCTTAGGGGAGCCCGGCTAGACTTTGGTCAAGGAGAGACTCTTTGTCAGAGTCATGCCTTACTTTATGTCCCCCAAACCCTATTTTTAGATTAGGAAATCGAGACACAGAGAGGGGGGAGGAGGGGATGTGTATATACACAAATAATGAGTGAGATGTGTACTGTCTGGGGGATGGTCATGCTTGAAGCTCTGACTTGAGGGGGGAGAGGGGAAGGGCATTATATGTAACCTTAAAATTTGTACCCTCATAATATGCTGAAATAAAAATAATAATAATTTTTGCAAAGCAATAGAATTAGTAACAAAACTGTGATTCAAACCAAGCTTTTTTTAAATACTAGAGTCTATTGCAGAGGTAGAAGAAGGAACTGAAAGATTGTACAAATTGAGATCCATGGGAGGTAGAAGAAATGACATTCTATATATGTGCACTGACTGTGAACCACTGAGTTTTATCTCAGGTTTGATGTAAATTGTGGAGCAATTTTTAGCATAGTGATACATGTGACTTTAATGTACTATTTTCTTATTTGGTGATTGAAATTTGTTAAAGATTTGTGTCTCAGCTTAAATGCTTTCAATCTTTTTTTTTTTTAGTTAATCCCTTCAGGACTAAATTAGGTTGCAAAGCTTCTTTTTAAAATAATTTATCTCATATCTATATCGGAATGTAACAATTTAAACTTAAAAACTTAAAAATTTAACATTAGGCATCCATTTTTATCTAAAGAGAAACCTAAAATGATAAGGACTTCAGTAGAAAATGGTTTGCATGAAATTCCATGGAAGAGCTAAAACTATTAACATTGAGAGACATTTAATAATTCCTCCTCTAGTGGTTTTTAATCCTTGGTGTTTAATTATGTTTTTCCACATAGCAGAGGGTGTCTGATCCTGATGTTTTAATAGCTTCTACATTTTCAGTTAGTACTTTGCCCTATCAAAACGCATTATTAATTACTTGTCAGCTTCATTGAAGCCTTCGTCTTTAGGTTAATATTCCCACTGTAGTTTTTTTTTTTTTTTTTTTTTAAATCAGAGGAAACATAAGGATAAACTGAAGGATGTGACCAATATTTCACTACAACAGTAGGAAAAAAAAATTATGGCTCATGAATGGTCTGTTTATTGAGAGAAATTTTCCTTGAGTCTATGTTACTTTGCTGGAGGAAAATAAATGATTTTTTAAAGTTGCAATCTCTCTTTTAAGTAAAAAAGGGTTAATCTATAATAACCTCAACATAACCATGCATAATTCATCTGGTCAGTAAAAACTTATTCAGGGTTTACCTTCAGGCTGGTTTTACAGAGATTAAAAAGTGATTAAAAAGTGATTGCCCTGTCCCCAAAGAATTGCAGTATTTCTCCTTTGTAGTTGCCTTTTGAATTTCTGAATTATTGGTGTTATTTGAGACTCCCTAAGCTTCCCCAGTCTGTGGACATGAATGGTAATCATCGTAATATGAAACAGTATAATTTCACTACTTTTGCTCCCAGTTGATAACAGAGGACCCTCAGTCACTTGTAAAATCTCCTACTCAATATTTCTGGGGAGTCCCAGAAGTGTGTGATACATGTTGGCAAACAACTGCATTCCTTTTGGACTCTGCCAATTGTTTTCCTTTGGAGCCATTGCTGAGCCTCTGTCTGTGGTTTGTGCCATCTGTCAGCTTCACAGCTGTTTATAACAAAGCTGGTGCGAACACCTTCCCCATTTTCGTTTGCTTCTGCTAGGTTCGGAGTGTTTCATTTCAGGCAATTCGTCAGACAAGACATCCTGAAAATCTCCCACAAACACCAAGAATGCTAGCTAAAACATGAAAGCAAAAAACACAACTTTTAAACTGAATGGATGGGTTTGCAAGAAAGTGAAAGGTATCCTGAGTCCTGGCAACAGGCGGGAGATCTCGCGCATGGAAGAAGTGAGAATGGAAGTCACTAGTTTTAGGGATCTCTGTGAATCCAGACATCCAGAGCTTTGACTTCGGGACTGAAAATAGAGGTGGGGTGGGATGGGGAAGTTGGGGACAAAGGCTCGGGCCTGTGTAAAGAAGGGAGTGGATCACTGACTGTCCTACATAAAGTTAGGAACCATGAAGAGCTACATTTTTTTTTTAAAAAACCCTTAATAAAGAGATAGCAATAAATTTGTCTTCAACTTGGAATATGAATGGATATAAAAATCTTTGAGAATTTGCAGCCAGAGCCCAAGTGTCCTGTAAGTCCAGGACCTGAATTTACACCGTGTATCATCTGATGGTAGCAGTGAAGGCAAGTCTTCCCAGCAGGGAGGGCACTCTCCAAACCAGGCCTCAAAGCGTCTTCACAGATCAAACTCCAAAGCATACGAGCAAACAGTAACACACATGCTACATAAAGAAAGAAGGCACCATGAGCAAGAGTCAGCAGGAGAAAAATAGATCCTCAAAGACTTCAGGTATTACAAATATCAGGTAGAGATTATAAATTATGTTTTATGTGTTTCTAAAAGTAGGACTTGAAACATAAGTAAGAACAAAGTAACAAAATGATCAGCACGCTTGAGTTTTAAAGAAAGAACGTTTAAGAATAAATATATATGTAATAATAGATGTTAAAAATTTGTTGAAAGTTCGAACATAGAAAAAGCTGAAAAGTAAGTCTGTGAACTGAAATAGAGACCAGAAGAAATTGCACTGACTACAAAACAGAGAGATACAGAGATATAAAGTGTAAGAGGGAGGTTGTGACTTGTGGAGGTTACAATCGTCCATCATCTGTCTAAAGAGAATGGTGTAGGGGCAACATTTGAAGATGCAAGGATAGAATTTTCTATAAGCAATTAAAACACATGAAGGGAAGACGGAAGAAATTATATTCCAAACTTCTGATATTACCCTTTATAAGGCGAAGGGAGGCTGGAAGAGAGAAGTGTGCATATGGGAGGTATTTATGTGGATGCATATGTGAGTGTTGTATGAGCTTAATGATTATTGTACCATCTCATTCCAATGGGAGAATTTTCTTTATCCTGGGTTTTTTGCTTATTTATTCTGTCTTTCCCTGCCTTTATGTCCTTAATGGCATTCTATGTTTTGGTAGATATGTGTTGTATTTCTTTCATTCTATTCTTTCTGCTGTTTAAAATTGTAGATTTGGTGGGGCATGGTGGCTCGTGCCTGTAATCTCTGCATGCTGGGAGGTTGAGTTGGGAGGATACTGTGAGCTGAGGAGTTCAAGACCAGCCTGAGCAAGAGTGAGATCCCTGCCTCTGAAAAAAAAATGGATTTATAAAAAAAAATAAAAAAATAAAATTGTAGATTTACCTTTTCCTCCAATATTTTCTTAAGAAAAATTTCACATACAACATAGTTGAGAGAATTTTACCATGAACACTCATGTACCCATCAATGAGATTGATTCTATCATTAGTATTTTACCATACATGCTTTATCACACACTTTTCCATTTATTTATCCTCAACTTACCCATTAATCTATCTTATTTTCTGATGTATTTCAAAGTATATTACGGATTATCTACCTTTGTTTTAAAACAAATGAAAGAAAAGTGCTAGTCTTACTTTTAAGTCAGTAATTCATCATTTTAGCAATATATTTTTATCAATTTATTTGCTCATCTCTTGCACTTGGTGATTTTATCACTGTATGTGCCTCTGGTAGGGCCTATTTCCCAGTTTGTTGTTCCATGTAATTTATAAGTGAAGAAAATGGAGGGGAGGGAATGTCCTGTTTGAGTTGTGTAGCAAATTAGAATAAATGAACTTTCAGTAAGGGGCTGGAGATTCCTTCTTGGCTAAAACCATGCATGAACTTTATATCTATTTTGGCTGCCAAGAGATATTACGAGAGTCTTAGAATATTTATGAAAGGATTGATTGGGATTCTGCAGGCTTTCTGGAGGAAATAAAATTTCTTGAATTGCTCTCAATATTATTTTATTATAATGATTAAAATTTATACTCTTCATAAAGAGCTAGTGCACCATCCAATCAAATACAAATGTATGACACCTATAACAGGTAGTGTTTAAATGCCTAAGTTCAATTTTATTATGCAATTTCAAATTTAAAATAGAAGCAATTTCATATGATGAACTAATCTCTTTGGTCTCTAATATGGAGAAGCATAAAAGGGTTAAATACTTAATCATTAATTAATGGCTTTTAGCTTAATGGGTTTTTTAACTGATAGGAGCCAAAAAGCTGAGCTACTACCAAAGAATCTTATCACTTAGTGACAGCTCTACATTGAAGATGCAAGAGGAGAAAAACGATCCCTTTATGTGAGATATTGTTAAGTAACTTTTGTCTAATTTTAAGGTAGAATATTTGTGGACATCAGCTAAGTTAATGAAAATTATATTCAGTTAAATTGCGGCATACTTGCTATGCTGTGAGGATAGGAAGAAATAGGAACATTTTTCTATTTTTTTCCTTCTCATCAAAGGTTTATAAAAACATCAGATTATTGCTCTTTAAAATGGGTATATCACAGTACCTTTTCTATTAATAATTAGGACTTTAGATAAAAACTGTGTTTCAATTCCAGCTTCACCATTACTAGCACATGACCTTGGTTGGGTCATAATAATTTAGAGCCTCAACTTACTAATCTATATCTATATCTATCCACAGAGATAGATATTAACACACTTCTTATAGTGTCATAGAGAGGAGCAGAGTTAAATTATAATAAGGTCCCTGGCGTAGAGCTTAAATTAGAGTAGGTACACAAAATGTAGCTGTGATGATGATGATGATGATGATGAAGATGCCTATTTTGAAATTGTCTCAAATTTTATTTCCAGTTCATTTCCTTAAGCAGTTCACAGCGTTATCACTTGTGTTGGTTATTTGGAAAACATAATTTTTCTTTTTCGAATGATTTATTAATGACTTAAAGTATCTTTAATTAGCCAATTATGTAATTTCAGCTAAATTAAGAAAGAAATTGATTAGATGATCATAATAGTACATGGCAACCAAACTCTGGCTTTTGATGCATAGAAACTCAACTCAAACTAGCTTAAGCACAAAAGAGAATGCACTGGATCAATTACCTGGGAAAATGGAAGCACACAGGTATTACTTGTTTCAAGCATGCTTATATCAAATGAAGTCTCTACCTCTCCTGTTTTTCTCAATGTGTTAGTTTCATTCACTCACTACGCAGACAGGCTTTTCCTATATAGTGAGGGGTGGCCACTGGAGCTGTGCATTGCCCCAGCATGACCCCCACCCATGCCATGTGGATGGTATTCCTACCTCTTCATATTCTACAGCACCCAACATGGGCAGAGCTCCCTCATTGTCAGTCTAGGGGCGTGGGGAGAGGAGATATCTGTTGTTCGCAATGAACGATTTGATACAATGGCACAGCTGCTGTGCAGAGAAATACTTTGGGGAGACAATGTGTTAAAGAGGTTTTTTGGGAAATCTTTTATTTATTCAACAAATATTAATAATATATATATTGTCCTCTCTTCTTGCCAGGCACTGTTATAAATTCTGGGGACATAGTAGGGATGTATATAGCATCTGTATATATATATAGATAGAGCACTCTTTCCTGGCAGAGCTTGCATTTTAATGAATGGAGACAGAAAATAAACATATATTGTATGATGTTTTAGATGATAACAAGTGTTATGGAAAAAAAATAGAGCAGCTCTGGAGAGCTGGAGTTGGGGAAGAGTGGTTGCAAATTTAAAAATGAATTGTCAGGGTAGGCTTCAGAGAGCAGGTGACATTTGAGCAAAAACTTGAAGGAGATAAGTGAGGGGGGGTTGGGAAGCCTTCTAAGCAGAGAATATAGCCCTTGCAGAGTCCCTGAAGTGGATGTGTGTTTGGAGAGTTCAGAAATGGGAAGGCCAGTGTGGCTGAAGGTAGAGGGAAGAGCAGGAAATGAGGTGTAAGACTAACTGGTAGCAGCTGGTCCATGATGTAGGGCTTTGAGGTCATTAAGCTTTGAGAGAAAGGAAAGGCATTAGAGGCTTCCTGACAGAGGCTTTTAATTGCATGACTGCCTAATGCATTTTGATGGATATTATGCAATATAATTCCTTCAGGAAATCTTCAGTATATGTGTTTCTCTTGAATGTGATACAGTGCTAATATTTTTATCCAATGTATATACATTGAGGTTACAATAGACTGCCTTACAGTAGGGAGCTCTCCACAAAAAGACACTTGTTGAATGAATGAATGAACAAATGAATGAACAAATGAAGTTGGCCTTTTAGCTCCCTCTGTGCAGGTTCTCAACCTATTATTTCAACTATATTGCCCCCACACCTTTTCTCAACTTAGGTTTTATTCTATTCAGCTTTCTGCTGTCTTCAACCATGTACTTCTTCTATCTTTGCTCACTCCATTTCCTCCTACTTCAAATGTTCTACCCCAACCTTCTCCACTGGATTCAAATTCTAATCATTGTTAAGGACTCAGCAAAGCACCATTTCGAAATTCCCTGCAGACCCTCTGGCCTTCATTGCCTTTTCTGAGCTCCTATAGCATCCCTCCTAAGGTACTTTTCATTGGCTTGATCTCTTGCGTTGGATAATGTTTTGGTTGTTTATTTAAAAGCCATAGCTTTGAATACTCTCTGTTAGGCAAAGAAGAGATAAATATATAGCAGTATCTCAGGCGAGCGGGGCCGGGGTGCTTTTGCCCTTTGCTTTACAGAAGGTGACTGGATAAGAGAAGTGGAGTAACTTGGCTGATCTCACGCAGATTAGTTAGTAAGAGTGCACTGGGAGTGACATCCAAGTCGTACCCGAGACAAGAAACAGTTACCGTCCTTCCTATTCATAAAAGGGTTAACCTAGCACTTCCTTTCCGCAGCCAGTTCAAGCCACGCCCTTCCGCGCTAATCGAAAGCGGCTGCGGCTTGGGAAACTTGTCCAGTGCGGGATCCTGTAGTGGCTCTCGCTCAGCTGCTCAAGTCCCGGGCAAACATGGCGGCCCCCGAGTCGGGGCCGGCTTTGAGTCCAGGCACTGCAGAGGGCGAGGAGGAGACGATTCTCTATGACTTGTTGGTCAACACCGAGTGGCCACCGGAGACAGAAGTGCAGGTGAACCAGGCCCCTCTACGGCTTCAGCCATCTTGGCGCGAGCGCTTTCTGGGCAGAGCCACGTAGCGGAGGGGAGCTGGGTGGGCGGGGGAGCAGGGCTCGGCAGCTTGTGCGGTCGCCCTGGCAACGGCACCTTGAATTAGCGGGGGTCTGGGGCTGCGGAGGCGAGGGCAGTGGGTAGTCCTTGAGATTCCTCCAGGGCTCAGAATTAGGTTGTCGAGGAACCTTGTGCTCGGAGCCACGTTCCTGGCCGCTCTGGTTGTCAGTTTCACTCCCTGTACTTGGAGGGGAGGGCACGCGCTGGACTCTCCGGTGGCTGGCTAGGGCTGCTCTGGGCTGACCCTCAACCGCGGTGGCGGTGGGAGAATTTTCGAGAACGCTACCGTCTTTTCAGTATGGGGCATGCTGCAGGGGATCCCGGGATCTAACCCTTTACCTCTAGATAGGGCGGAATCGTGCCAGCCCTTGTGTGTTTCAGTAAGCAAGCATCTGATAAGTGTGTCCATCTGTCCCGGTGTCCCAGATATCGTGCTTGGTGCTGGGCATAGAGAGATGAATAAACTTTCCTGGAGCTTCCAGTCTAGGAGGGAGACAGTCCAATAAACATGCACTATAGTCGCGGTGTGAATGAAAAATGCCACTTTTTTTTTGTGAAGAGTAAGGAGTGAAAAGTAAGGAGCTACTGACCAGGGTTGGAGTCTCTCCTAGACAAGGGGTTATAAGGCTTGCTAAGTTATGAACTGGACCTTGGATTTATCAGTTATTTCACAGGGAGTACCTACTAGGGCTAGGGTGAAGAGAAGGAACCATGGATCCACGTTTATTCGACAGATATTGTGTGCCTCACGTCCCAGTTACTGTTTGAGACTCAGAGGAAGCAGCAAGATGAAAAGGACCTTTATTGAAGATTATGGAGTTTAGCCCATATGCATTCTCTTTTATATTCTTTTCTGAGTGTTTCTTTACTGGAGAAACTATTCTTAAGCTCATTTTCTTATAAAGTTTGCGTATTTTTCTTTATAACCTCCTTCCCATGCAGTTTCTGGGTGTCTTGAATAATGTGTTTTGTAGGTGGACAGAGATCTGCATATATTGTTATTTTTCAAGTATTTACTTAGTTTTTCTTGAGCAACTGGAATATTTTGAAGGGTATGGAGCTAGGAGGAAGCTGTTGCTGCT